TGTAAATATTGCAGAATATAGGTCTGTGGGCTGTCTGACACTTTTAGTTCTTTTCTCAGCAGGTCCATGGGCTAACACTTGTGGTCTATATCTCAGCAGGTCCGTGGGCTGGCTGACACGTATGGTCCATATCGCAGCAGGTCTGTGGGCTGGCTGACACTTGTAGTTCTTGTCTCAGCAGGTCTGTGAGCTGGCTGACACTTGTAGTTCTTATCTCAGCAGGTCTGTGGGCTGGCTGACACTTGTAGTTCTTATCTCAGAAGGTCTGTGGGCTGGCTGACACTTTTAGTTCTTAGCAGGTCCATGGGCTGGCTGACACTTGTGGTCCATATCTCAGCAGGTCTGTGGGCTGGCTGACACTTGTAGTCCACATTTCAGCAGGTTTGTGGTCTCAGCTGGTCTGTGAGCTGGCTGACACTTGTAGTCCATATCTCAGCAGGTCTTTTTATATATAATTGTATTATATTCAACTTTTTAATTAACCGCTTGCCTACAGGGCATTCAGCGCTGTCACACTTTGAATGACAATTGCGTAGTCATGCAACAGTGTACCATATAACATTTTTTGCAATTTTTTTCACACAAACAGAGCTTTCTTTTGTTGGTAATTTATCACCATTGGGTGTTTTATTTTTGCAAAGGAAAAAAAAGACCAAAAAATGTTGAAAAAAAGTTTTTCTTAGTTTCTATTATAAAATTTAGCAAACAGGTAATTTTTCTCCTTCACTGATGTGCATTGATTAGGCTGCACTGATGGGCCCTGATAGGCTGTACTGATACGCGGCACTGATGGACACTTAAAGGCAGCACTGAAGGGCACTTCTAAGCAGCACTGAAGGGCACTGGTAGGTAGCACCGAAAGGCACTGACTGGCAGCACTAATGGAAACTGTTTGGCCTTAATAAGCAGCACTGATGGGCACTGTTGGGGCTGTATTGATAATCAGTGCCCTGATTATCAGTATAGATGTCTCCTTTCACACTTGCCAGTTATCGGCAGTACTTTCCTCATGCTGTCACAGTACTGCAGATTGGACACAGCTGATCATGTGGTAAACGGCCGCTGTGATTGGCCCTTTATTGTAATTTGTGATCAGCTGTATCTGAAGAACACAGTGATCACTGAGAGCGCTGGGTGTGTGCCACAGAGGGTGAGCAGGGGACGCTGTTCTGGGAGGATGTCAATTTGCACCCTCCCAGAACTAGACACCTGTGCTGTAGCCGTCATTCGGCTATAGCGTGGTCGGCAAGTGGTAAATATAATTAATAAAAAAAACACAATCTAGTAAAGTAAAAGAACTTTTATTGAAATTAATACACAAAAATTAGACATGAAATATATAAAAAAAATAAAAACCGTAAATAGAGACATTTTTGCATTGAAGTCAATGGGACGTGATTTTGCATTGAAGTCAGTTATCATTATCGACGCTTTTTTTTTTTTTAATTATTCTGCAAAATGCCGATAACCCTATTTTTGACGGCCAGTATATCGGTTATATGACTTTGATCTGTAAAGCTGCAGGGAACATTCATTTGTTTGTGGCCAGATGCTAGTTGTTGCTCTACAGGATAAATTTGACCATCAAAAATACCATGCTAATGTGTTGTGGTCTTTGCATTCAAGCAAAGCTTATGTGAGAGACAGTGATCTTTGTGTTCTCAGTTTGATGCTTCATAATCTGATTCTTCATGTTTGTTAGTATAAAAGCACTTTGATTTGAGTTCAAGACTTTAGCCTGTGCTTATTTTTCTTTTCATTTTTCTTTAAAGCCCAACTGAGAAAAGAATCCCTGTCAAGAATCATTTCATTGCTGGGTCATGCCCTAAATTTTTCACTTTGTGGTCACACCATTTTTGTTATTTTTTATCTTGTTACTTTTCATTATTTTATACCTTTTCTGAAACCACATTTGTCTTAAAGTAGTTGGAAAGACAGAAGGTTTTTTACCTTTATGCATTGTATGTATGGAGGTAAAAAACCTTCTGTGTGCTGCAGCTCCTCCTAATACTCACCTGAGCCCCTCTCGATCCAGCAATGTGCAAAAGAGCTCCGACCGTCCCAGGACTCCATCTCCTCATGAGGCAGCAGCAGGAGCTGTTGGTGAGCATGAACAAGTGCCCCCATAGCAAGTGGCTTGCTATTGGGGGCACTGTTCAAGGGGGAGGAGCCAGAAGCATCAGCGAGGAACCCATGAAGAAGAGGATCAGGGCTGCTCTGTGCAAAACCATTGCACAGAGCAGGTAAGTATGACATGACTGTTTTGTTGTTTTTTTTAAAAAAAAAAAAAAAGCTGAATTGAGGCATTACATTAAGCTGGAAAAAATCAAGACCTTGCAGTGGACATCCTACTTTCGGATCTACCATTGCATGAGTTGGAAGGAACTGCACTTTAGGAAGGAAGCATTACTTCCCGCTGATAAGGTGTGAATCCTGTACATCATGTGTTTTGCTGCTTTATTGCATTTGGCATTCTAGATAGCCTCGAAAATGGACCTAGAAAGTACTCTGGGGATGTTTTGGTTTCATCCTCAGTGATCGGATCTCTGAACAATTTAACCACTTGCCCTCCAGAGGATTTACCCCCCTTCCTGACCAGGCCATTTTTTGCGATACGGCACTGTGTTGTTTTAATAGACAATTGCGCGGTTATGCAACGCTGCACCCAAATGAAATGTATGTCCTTTTTTCCCCCACAAATAGAGCTTTCTTTTGGTGGTATTTGATCGCCTCTGCAGTTTTTACTTTTTGCGCTATAAAAAAAAAAAATATTTTGAGAAAAAAAACTATTTTTTGACTTTTTGGTATTAGACATGTCCAGTAAAAAAATTAAAGTCAAAAATTTTAGTAAAGTAAAAGTTTTATTGAAATTAATACACAAAAATTAGACATGAAATATATAAAAAAAATAAAAACCGTAAATAGAGACATTTGCATTGAAGTCAATGGGACGTGATTTTGCATTGAATTTATCATTATCGGCGCTTTTTTTTTTTTTTTTTTTAATTATTCTGCAAAATGCCGATAACCCTATTTTCGTATATCGGTTACATGCTAAAAAAAATCCCAATACATGTAAATTAATTGGTTTACGTGAAAGTTATAGCGTTTACAAATGACGGTATAGATACTGGAATTTTTTTTTTTTTTTTTTTTTTTTTTTTTTAGCACTGTGGTGGGCATTCTGACACGGAGAGAGGGGGGAAATGAATACACCAATACAGTGATAAGTGCTAATAAAAAGCACTGACACTGTACTAATGATACTAGGCAGGAAGGGGTTAACATCTGGGGCAATCAAAGGGTTAACTGTGTGCTGTTTTACTGTGTGCTGTGTGTGCTTCACTGTAAGCACACTGCTTTGTATAGCAGAGCCATACAAAGCAGTGTGCAGTTGCTGACGGGAGAGAACTGTATTTACACACAGGTCTCTCCCCCGTCGGTGATATATGGCCAGTTGCTGGCTGGGACCCGGTGATCAACAGGTGAGGCCACCAATGGTGGCGTGGGTAGGGCACATGCACTGACCCTGCACGCCCCCTACCTGGAAATGCAAAATCACGTATATATACATGATTTTGCGCACTCCTGCCGCCCTGTAGCAGTATTTCTGCTATGGGGGGGGGGAGCAGTTTAAAAAAAAAAAAACGTTAATTGGACAATCTATTGGAGGTCTATCATTATAACAAGATTGGAGGCCCCTGATGTACAGTATCTCTTTGCTGTAGACCAATGTTCTGGTTTATAGTGATTTTTGATAAGAAGTAAAATGTGATTCTGGCATTTCCTAAGCATGTGAGTTTTTTATGTGCTGCCATGTGTTGTATCCTAATGACCTACTGGGAACTGTTTGATACACTTTGTAACCTTTGAAGTATTGTTTAGAGGCATAGCATGAAGGTAAGGCCTCATTTACATTTTGCGTAGTGGGAATGCACATTTTTGTGCATTTTTATCGATTTTGTGCTCGTTTTATTCACTTGAATAAGCTGCCCTATGTGCAACAAGCGCGCCAAAAGAAGCATCTGCACCTTTTTAAGGATCTGCACCCTTTTTTTAGCGCAATCTATATGTATAGATATACTTGTTTGTGAACTTGGTGCCATCTTTTGCCAAATACTTTAGGTTAATTAGTCACAAAACCAGTAAGACTGCAGACCCTTTTGTCATCCATCAATAAGCTTTATTGTTCAGGGCAACATTTACAACCCTATGAATATCCTGCACTGAACAATACAGCTTATTGAACACTGAATTTAGCAGATGAGGCCTATCACTATGGCTGGGTTCTCTCTGCTCACCATCTAACCCAGTGTTTCTCAACTCCAGTCCTCATGGACCCCCAACAGGTCATGTTTTCAGGATTTCCATTATTTTGCACAGGTGATTTGATCAGTTTCACTGCCTTAGTAATTACCACAGCTGTTTCATCTGAGGGAAATCCTGAAAACATGACCTGTTGGGGGTCCATGAGGACTGGAGTTGAGAAACACTGATCTAACCTAACATAACTTTTTTATGTGCACACATGCCTAGTGTTGTTTTTTTTTCTTTTTGCCTGTTTCCAGCGTAGCTTTGCCAGTTTTCTATTGGTCTTCCTGCAGACAGTAAGAATTAACATTTTATTGACCTCATAGCCTTACTGTCTCTGCCCTACATCTTTCAATGATTGGTTTTTGGATCTTTCAATCATGAAGGCTCATCTTCACAGGTGGTCATTACCTAGAGTGGGCTGTATTCAGATGTTGCCTGCTTGGGAATGCCCACTCCTTCATACTGACATCCATTCATTGATGCATTTTGATATTTGCATAATTCCTCCCAAAAAACAGCTTTAAAGTGTATGTAAACCCGAAATCCCTGAAAAAAAGGGGAAAAAAGTATACATTATGTTTTGCCTTTCATTTCTATTTTAAACTGAATGGGTTGTTTTACAAGGTGAGGGTTTATGTATACTTAAAGGAAAACCATAAATGAAAAAAAATGTTTGTTTTTTTTGTATTGTAGTCTCCACCAGGCAAAGTGGCAGCAGCTGTGGAGGCAGCTTTGGATGCGGGGTACAAGCACCTGGACTGCGCCTTTGTGTATGAGAATGAGAAGGAGGTAGGAGAAGGTATTCAGAAGAAGATCAAAGAGGGTGTGGTGAAACGGGAAGATATTTTCATCACTAGCAAGGTAAAACTATTAGATTTGTACAAATATTTGCATAGCTGGTTGAATACATCTCTATGTACAGTTTCCCTGCACGTATTTTGAGAAGTAGGGCTCTCAAAATCACTTGGGCAAACAAAATTTCCATTACAAGATCTGTAAAGTGGAAAAATGTGGCAACTGAATATCAAGGATGCTTTAAACAAGGAGCAGCTAGTACTAATCTTGAGAATGGAACACAAACTTCCTGATCTGTGAAAGGCCAACACAATCCAAAGCTGAAGTATCAATTTTGAACAATTTTGATGGCAAGTTTAATGATCTCTATACGGCTTTGGGAAACAGCTGTGAAATAATTCCACCAAAATTTCCTGTTCATCCAGGTTCTGGGGCATCTCCAAGAAATGCTTTGCTTAATGATTCCTTATACTGTAGACTGTTTCGCCGTGGAATTTCAGAAATAAGAGCCTGGCACCTGATTCCATTCATCTGGCCAAAACATTAGCAAGCAAATACTGTATGTTGGCCGACTTACCAAAATATGCTAGCTGCTTGTCTGATGTGTATCCTTGATTCCATCACCTAGAACAACTATACCCATCAGAAAGGTCAGAGAAAAGTTGGAACCCCTTCCGTGTTTAGGGTCAGTGATCTAAAGCAGGGCTTGAAATTTCCACTCGCCAAATGCAAGGGGAAATCCCTTTGTGGCAAGCACAGATGGAGCTGGTGGCTTGCAATAGAGCGGGTGGCTTGCAATGTGATCCCCAGGCCCCGGGGATCGATTTGCATTCCACTTGCGCTCCAAGCCTCGTTGCGAAGCTGACTTCCGGTTTCCGACTTCCGGTCTCTTCTTCGCCGTCGCGGGGGACACTGCTTTTTGTCATGCAAAAAAATCTTTTTTTGGTGTTTTTTTTCTTCATCAAATAGATTGTAATCCACACACAGCCATTGAAGTGGTATTTTGTATCAGAAAAAGGGTATTACATAAGTCTTGGTCCTGTTGTACATTGAAAACCATAGCAAATCTTGATGTGAAACTGGCAGTAACTATTATTCCATGTTTTTTGGCATCAAAATAAGCACTTTTTCTTATGCTATACTTCTGTAAACTAAACTTACATCTTTTAAAAGAGGCTTTAGTTACTAAAGTCTCTTTTTAAAGATGCAGGAGATAAACAAAAAAAATACAAAATGTTTGCTACAGGTTTAAAGCTGTAAAACTTGATATTTTGATTGCACCCTATTTCTATTAAGCTATTGCTGTTATGTTTAAATTGACATAATAAAGCTGTTGTAATTGCAGTTTTTTATATTTTGGACTCTTTATTCTAAAGAAAAATGTAATTTCATAAGCTTTAAGGGGGCGTGGTTGGGGGCATGACTGGGGATGGGGTTGGGGGGGCAGCTGGGGGGTGGGGTTGGAGGCAGACCTGGGCAAGGTTAGGTGGGGCAACTGGTGGAGAGTAAGGTTTGTGCCTGGCTAGTTGGTCTAGACTCAAAATTTTAAGCCCTGATCTAAAGGCATGGAGGAAAGAACGTCAACGTGACATCTTTGCAACTAGCAATTTGAAAAAAAGGGGTCAGCAGTGGCTGTGTCAATGTTACTATTATGAAAGGTTTCCTGTCCACAATTAACAATATTATTTGTTTTAGCTGTGGTCAACTTTCCACGAGAAGTCTATGGTGAAAGGAGCCTGTCAGAAAACACTTGCTGATCTGAAGCTTGATTACCTGGACCTGTATCTGATCCACTGGCCACCAGGATTTAAGGTATTTTTTTTCCCAATGAGCTTTCTGATTCATAGAGTGTAGCTTAGAAGTCATTACATTTATTTTTAACAGGTACTTGTATAGTGCCGTCAATTTACACACAATATACATATATGTTGTACATTCACATCAGTCCTTGACCCTCAGGGAGCTTACAATGTAAGGTCCCTAATTCAGATTCATACATACACATACTAGGGCCAACTTTTTTTTTTAGACAGGAGCCAATTAACCTACCAACATGTCTTTGGAGTCGGGGAGGAAACCGATGCAGGAGAAAATGCAAACTCCAGGCAGGTGGTTCCATGGTTGGGATTTGTACCAATGACCCTAGTGCTAACCATTTAGCCACTGTGCTGCCCCATGAAAGGAAAGTATTAGTAAATGGCTATGCTGAAGTAATTGTGTTCTGGTATTTTATATTAGGTAGAAGAAGAATGAGATCATGTTAGCTAAAGAGAGAAGATTCCCACGGAGCGTGCACATACATGCTGCCTTAAAGAAGTAGGCTTTATCTGTGAGGCTTCATATATGCGCTGCTGCGTTTGTGTTGAGAGCCTGCTGCACAGCATGCTCCCTGCACGGAGACCAAACTCTAACCAAGAGTTACGGGTCTCATACTAACTATCAAGAATTGGCAGACCCAGTTCCTGGTCACCTGTTCACTGTGATAGCCTCTGATTGGATATTACAGTGATCAGTCCCTGTACATCCTGCCCCTGTTAATTTCTCATCTCGAATGGAGAAAAGATACACTTTTTCTTCTTGCTAGGGGAGAAAAGTATAAACAAAGAAGTGTGAATAAAAAAATAATGAATATAGGTCTGGTATAGGTTACAGTCAAGGCCATGGTCAATCAGAGGTTGGGGTCAAAGGTTAGGGTGTATTTTAGGTAGGACTTAAAAAATAATTTTTAGTTTAGTATCATGTTAGTTAGTGGGTTTTAGGCAGGCCATAGGCAGTGCGAATGTCTTTTGCAGGAAAGAAATTTGCACGATTCCTCCATCAACGTAGACAGTGCTGAAGGGGAAATCCCTCCTGCCAAGCAATTGCCTTCTCCTGGGATGGGGGGCCGTCCCCGCCGGGAGAAGACAGTGATTATTGCTAGCAGCTGCTAGCGATCATCGCAAGTGAATCTGGCAGGCCAGATGTACCCATGTTGATCGATTGATCAGCTTGGTACATTCAGTCTGCCCATACACAGTTTGAATCTCGGGCAGTTCCTGCTGAAGCGGCTGAGATTTAAACCATCTATGGCTGGCCTAGGATTACAAAAAAAAAAAAAAAAAAAAAAAGCTAAATGTAAACTATTGTTTGTGGGGCCTACTACAGGTACACATAAAAAATAATATACACATACAGTATGTGGTATTCCTGTGATCTGCAGGAGCAAAATTTATTTTGGGTTGATGAGTTATCTTTGGTGATAAGTATGGTAAAAATCCTATTTTGTGTCAGTTTTTGTTTGATAAGAAAAAGAAAAATCAGGAGATACCCATTACCATTTTACGTCAAATGACAGCCCTGAAAAAGCAAGGTTATAATTCACATGAATACAGTAAGTAGTTGTTATATGTGCAGTTTTACTAACACGTGCCAAAGTTGACAAACTGTGTTCCGGCATTAAGATTTGTTTTATTTATTTATTTGTCATGAAGGGGTGGACCTAATTGGAAGCTCCATGTAAGTCTATGAGCAGGCATATGTAAACAGACATGGGTCCGTTTACTTTGGCTTACCTTGCAAGTCCGTTCATGTCTGGGAAAAAAATGGAAAAGGTCTGCTTTTTTTTCCCTTTTTTCAAACCTAAACATAACATATCAGAAGTAGTCCGATGTAACATGATGTGAATCTTTTTTCATCCAACCCCCCAGTTTTTAAAGGAGTTAATCATCTGTCCTTTTCTCCTGCAGTTCAGTAGAGGATCTGTTCATGGATGCCCTGTTAAACTGACTGGTCATTGCCTGTGTGAAAAGGGCCAGACTTAAAAGGTTGCATTCTTAAAAATTAAATAGGACATTAATAAAGACTAAAGTCTACATTTTTATGCCTTTTGCAGGCTGGAGATGCATTGTTTCCCACTGATGAGGAAGGACTAGTGATCCAAAGTGAAACAAACTTCTTGGACACATGGGAGGTAAGTGTGTGCTTCTATCTCGTCAGATTGTACATTTTCTGCTTATGCATTAATGGATACTTTATGGTCCTTTTGGCTTCTTCAAATTGGACTGAAAGCAAAAGTGGAACTTAAAATAAGTTAAAAGCTGAGAGCTCTATCTATCCTTGTCTAAGCCTTTTCCTATCTCCCTCCTTAGGCAATGGAGGAGCTTTTGGAGGCAGGGAAGGTGAAAGCCATTGGAATCTCTAACTTCAACCATGAACAAATTGAGCTGTTGTTGAATAAGCCAAACTTGAAACACAAACCAGCTGTCCACCAGGTATTTGGTGATTTTCATGGGTTTTCTGAATATTTGAGCTGTCCTGCTGTCTAAAAGCAAAATTCTCCTGTGAAAACAAAACATGGGTAATTCACGTTTTTTGTCTTGCATCAGTTTGAATGCCATCCTTACCTAACCCAGCAGAAACTCATTGATTACTGCCATTCCAAAGGCATCGCAGTGACCGCATACAGCCCCTTGGGATCTCCAGATCGTCCATGGTAAGACATATCCTTGTGAGTTTTGAATGCTTTCTCTTTTCATTTTGTAGACTCTAAAATTCATCTATCTTATTTAATAGTTATTTCCAACTTTAAAGTGGTGGTAAACTGTTGTTTTTCACTGCTTTGTCCACACATTACTTAGATCCTGGGTTTGACCTGAACAGGGTTGAAAGCGTCAATCCTTACCATGCTGTGGTGACTGGTACATCAGAGTCCAGTAAGGTGCCTACATCCTGTGTACATTCCAGTTTCTTGGGAGTGTATTAATGTCACTATAGTGTGCAACATTTTTACAAACACAGCTTGAGGATTTCTAATTCTGGGTGCCTTAGTTGGCTGTTTGGGGCTGCCATTTTTTTCCTACTTACTTTTACTTCATTTTTTTTGCACAGTTCCCCCCCCCCCCCCCATCTTTCCTTATTTTTCATTTTATTGCACCATTTGGGGTGAATGTCATAGTCAGCCATCAGCTCCTTGTCTTTACTTAAGGATTGCTTGTCTCCTCAAAGTGTAAAAGCAATGTAGATTTTACTCTTTTCTTTGTAAATTAGACAGCCTTATGAAATTTTTAGGCCTCATGCAGACAGGGCGTTTTAAAAACGCTCCTCTTGGCAGCAGCGTTTTGGCAGAAAAAAAAAACATGTGAAGCTTGTCTAAGTGTCTAATTGCTTTTACAGGCGGTTAAGTGCGTTTACAGGTGTCAAGCGCTTGGGCGTTAATTCATTTTGCTGGCCAGAATAATCATTTATTCTGGTCAGTGAAATGACTTAAAGCGGAGTTCCACTCAACCTATCAAAAAATAAAAGTCAGCAGCTACAAAAACTGTAGCTGCTGACTTTTAAAAAAACAGCCAATTACCTGCCCCTTGGTCCCGCGGTGTGTCCCCTGCAGCTCTTTTCACCGTCCGTCCTATATTCCAGGAGGCCGGCATCTTCATTGTGGCCACCCGGCTGTGATAGCTTGCGGCTTCACAGCCGGGTACCCTCTGCGCATGCGCGAGTATCGCTGCGCTTCATGAATGGTCCTGTAGTCTTCTGGGACTTGTCACGTGTCCCAAAAGACTACAGGGAGGGAGCACACCTTCCGCTTCCAATCGCCTGGTCGATCGGACTGGAAGTGGAAGCGGGTACCTCAGAAATTCGGGTACCCGCTCCCCAAAGGTGCTAATCATTAATGGGGAGCGAGGGAGCAGTCCTTAAAGTGGAACTTCCCTTTTGGGTGGAGCTCCGCTTTAATGTTCAATCACTAAACACATCTAGAGTTAACATGCATTTAGGAACGTTTCTTCTGCCAAAACGCTGCTGCTTCTGGACACACTGGCCCTGGGTTTTTTTTACCAACTGGTAAATGCTACTGCTACTAAAAGCTTCTAAAAGTCTATGTGTGCATGGACACATTGAATAACACGGAGGGCCATTTGGAAGCAGTAAACAAAACACCTGACACCCCTACAGGGGTGTGGAAATTTTTTTAAAAACTGCTTGCCCAGGGGACTAAATCAGTGTCCCAAACTTCCTGTCCCTCGTGACAATCTATTTGTCCTGATGAAAAAATTATGAAGAGTTGATGTTTTGTATTTGGCATAGGTGCTTTTAGGAATGCCTGGGGCTTTTAAAAATGAAAGGGGCTTTATGGCAAATTAAAGTTTTTAGCATTGTGCTGTTTATCTCCTACTTCCCTCCCTGCCTGTCTCCAGCACCGCACCCAGGGACTAGCAGAGAGGGGAGAGACCTTGCGGTATAATGAGGGAAGGGGAGTGTCAGGTTCTCTTAATGCTCAGTAGTAGCGCACCTGTTGAGCCAGTAAATGAGGCTCCAGTTAGAAAAAAGCCCCTTTTATTTCTTCAGGTTACCCTTGCACATGGCAGGACCTGCGTGCTCAGTACAACCGCATGCTGAGCAGTCAAATCAAGCTCCGGTGTCCACTCCGGATGCAGTATCTCTCAGAGTGAGGTCAAAAACCCCTTGGAGAGTGGGGACTGAATCCTGGGTGCGGGTGGCCTCAGGTAAGCCCCTAATGTGGATATTCTGCTGCTGCTCATGATTTTTGTAGTTGTCCAATTGCAATAAAATGGATTCTATAATTGCATCATTCCTATGGGAAACAAATCCTCCTGACCAGTTTCTAAGGTCTCCACTCCAGTTGCCTAGAGTGGTGGTCTCGGCGGATCGCTGAGAGGTTGAGCCAGGTGCAGGTCCAGGCTCCTGGGTGGATCCCAACCATATGGTCACGATCTTTCCCCAGCCTGGACCAGCTGAGTTACATCAGCCGACAGCGGGTTACAGGAGTGCAAAACAAACTGTACTCCTATGATTTACAGGAGAAATACATCCAAACGAGCTTTGGTTGTACTTCTCCTTTAAATGAAGACCGCACAGTGGAAATCAACAGCAAAATGTCAGCTTTAGCAGGAAGAGCTCATATACGCTATCTAATGTCCCAGCCTTCTGCAATGTCATCTAGCACTGAGCCTGCTGTAGAATTGAGTGGAGGAGGCATGTGAGATGGCAGGGCTGGTGCAGCGTACCTAGGCAGAGCTGACTTTTTCCTGATCAGAGGGTGCTGGAGATCCGGAGCCATCTCTGATCTCCCTGTGCGCGGCCCTGAGCTCCCAGAGAAATAGGAATCTAAGGCTCAAGATTAGGTTGGTGTGGATGACACCCACTGCTTCCCTGGCAAGTCTGTTTGGTGGCTTGCTCCTACAGTAAAGCTGTGTAAAGCCAGGAGTGAACAGCAGCTCTCTGTCCTCACAAAGTAAACCCTGCTGCCTGCCCGCAGCAAGGCTAAGTGTACAAAAAAACCTGCTCGGCACCTGGAACTGCATGTCCTGGGCGTCAGGCGATAAGATTTGCACATCCCTGCCCCTAAAAGTGGCTGCAAGAAAGCCCTGTGTTTATGAGGCCTTACACCCTGTTCCAAATTATTATGCAAATTCTATTTAAGTGTCACAAAGATTAAATATTTCGTTTTTTCGGTGTAACTCATAGATGGCATTGTGTCTCACGGCTCTTTTGATCACTGAAAACAATCTCGGACACCTGTGATAATTAGATTGGCAGGTGAGCCCAATTTAAGGAAAAACTACTAAAGGATGGTGTTCCACATTATTAAGCAGAGCACCATTTTCAAGCAACATGGGGAAGAAAAAGGATCTCTCTGCTGCCGAAAAGAGTGAAATAGTTCAATGCCTTGGACGAGGTATGAAAACATTAGATATTTCACGAAAACTTAAGCATGATCATCGCACTATTAAGAGATTTGTGGCTGATTCAGAGCACAGACGGGTTCGTGCAGATAAAAGCACATTGAGGAAGATTTCTGCCAGATCCATGCATCGGATCAAGAGAGCAGCTGCTAAAATACCATTACATAGCAGCAAACAGATATTTGAAGCTGCTGGCGCCTCTGGAGTCCCACGGACATCAAGATGTAGAGTCCTTCAGAGTCTGGCAACTGTGTATAAACCTTCTATTCGGCCACCACTAACCAATGCTCACAAGCAGAAACGGCTGCATTGGCCAGAAAAATACATGAAGACTAATTTTCAAACAGTCCTGTTCACTGATGAGTGCCGTGCAACCCTGGATGGTCCAGATGGATGGAGTAGTGGATGGTTGGTGGACGGCCACCCTGTTCCAACAAGGCTGCGACGTCAGCAAGGCAGTGGTGGAGTCATGTTTTGGGCCGGAATCATGGGAATAGAGCTGGTCGGCCCCTTTAGGGTCCCCGAAGGTGTAAAGATGACCTCTGCAAAGTATGTGGAGTTTATAACTGACCACTTTCTTCCCTGGTACAGAAGAAAGAACTATGCTTTCCGTAATAAAATCATCTTCATGCATGACAATGCACCATCTCATGCTGCAAAGAATACCTCTGCATCAATGGCTGCTATGGGGATAAAAGGAGAGAAAGTCATGGTGTGGCCTCCATCCTCCCCTGACCTCAATCCTATTGAGAACCTTTGGAGCATCCTCAAGCAAAAGATCTATGAGGGTGGGAGGCAAATACATCCAAACAGCAGCTCTGGGAGGCTATTCTGACATCTTGCAAACAAATTCAAGCAGAAAATGTCCAAAAACTTACAAGTTCAATGGATGCAAGACTTGTGAAGCTGCTATCAAATAAGGGGTCCTATGTTAAAATGTAACGAGACCTGTTAAAATGTTTAAAAAGTTACAATGTTGTTAAAAGTTTGATTGAAATAGCTTTTGATTTCAGTAAATATGCTGCAAACACAACAAATGACAGTTTTCAGTTCTTTACAACCTATAAAGTGTTTTGAAACTTACTGTGCGTAATAATTTGGAACAGTGCATTGTAAGTGTTTTATGTTTTAAAAAAATCCTGTTATCATTAGGAGGTTTGTTCAATAAAATGTGAATTGTACTCTTAATAGTTGATAACATGAGAATTATGCTGACTGTTATTTACATCAATTATTTAGGTAAATGAGAAAATATCATTTGCATATTAATTTGGAACACGGTGTAAAGTTGAACTTCAGCGGTCGCTTCAGTCTTGCACAGTTCTCCAGGCTTCTCTTCTGAATTGAAATTGCTTAGTCTGATTTCACTGTACTACAACATTCTCAAAATGTGCGTTAGAAGCTGCAGCAAGTCAAAGGCTACTTCTTTTCCTGGCTGAAAAATGTATTGGCACCATCTAGCTCTTTCATTCTCAGCCTGACTGTTTTTGGCTCACCCCTTTTATTTATTGGATTTCAAATGGTTCTAAAGTTAAAACATTTTTTACCTTAATGCATTCCTTGCATTAAAGTAAAAATGTCCCACCACTTGTTATAAAAGCTCAGCATCACACGTGAGCACGACCTAGGGTGGTCTGCTGTTTTCAGGAAGCTATGTACAGTCCCTCCCACCAGCCATGATATGTCTGCATTGCATAGAGAAGCAGAGAACAGTGATGGCATTACTGGGTTTAAATAAGGTAAATAAAACAGGTTTTTCTTTTTTTTTTTTTATTCATTAGTAGGTTGGTAAAGGGGAGGGATGAACCAAGTAAGGCAAATATCAGATTAGCATTCTTATAGGGATTTAATTTATCACAACAATACTTCCATTTTACTTTCATCTTCTCCGAGTTTTTAATACTTGAATAAGATACTGTCCAGGTTGATGATGCAGTCACATACCTCTACAGTAACCTGTATGCCTTGGGCTGTGCCTACATTTAGCCTCCTGTAGATCACCACTCTTCCATGATGCTATCACTTTTTTTTGGGACACAATTGGTATATATTTGACATAAAATTGTCTGCTTTGCATTTTTTCAATAAGCAAAATGATTGCTAAACCATATCCTGTTTTTAAGGGCCAAGCCAGATGATCCCTCCCTTTTAGATGAGCCAAAAATCAAAGAGATTGCTGCTAAACATAACAAGACATCTGCCCAGGTATGATTATTGTGATTAATGGTCACAACTTTGTTAATATAGAGGGTTCAAGTGCGGCTCTTTAAATAGTGAAAACACATAATGTTCAGTGAATACAATGCTAGAGAAAGAAAGACTACATGTATGCTACAGGAGATGGTCAGAGAATGCAAAAATGCAGAATGCACTGGAGACACATTATATGAGACTACTAGATATCACAGCTTTACAAATTGACATCTTTACAAATCAGTGCTTCCACAGTTTTGCTTCCTACAGCCCCTTTCAAAATTACTTGTACCATATTTGATATTTCTCTAGGAAAGATCCATTAAAAACAGGCAATGGATGAAATATCTAAAGCAGAAAAGAGACAGCACAGAAAAAAATTAACATAGTTTGAAAGAAATCAAGCTTTTCAACTAGAGCTAAAGAAGAACTAGTCTAAAGATATTTTTTTTCCATCTCTGCTTTAAATAAGCACCTAGGAAAGGAAAACAGACTATTGTCTGCAGGGCCCCTGAGGATTGCACAGTAAGCGAAAAAAAAAACTGCAGGTTGGGCAGCAGGGACTTAAATGAACCAAAATCAGATTTCTGTTAGGCATGACATGACATCTGTCCTGTTATGATTATGAAGACATAATATGATTAACATTTCAGGTTCTGCTCCGCTTCCCTATTCAGAGGAATTTGGTTGTTATCCCAAAATCTATAACTCCTCAGCGCATTGTGGAGAATTCTCAGGTATGGAAGCTCAATGATTGTATTTTTGGGGTAGTAAGTTAACTGTCTCATTGCCTATGCAATATTGATTTTTATTACCCTAATAATTATCTATAATCTGCAGGTGTTTGATTTTGAATTGTCTGAAGAAGAAATGAAAAAAATAATGAGCTTTAATCGAGGCTGGAGGGTCTGTGCATTGTCTTCGTAAGTATACATTTTGCTTTTCCTAGTAATGGTTTTTACTTTGCTGAAGGATCTCATAGCGAAAACGAAAAATAGATTGGAAGTGTGATGAGTCAAAGTTGGTTTTATCCATGAAACATATGATAAGTTATTACATGGCTACAGATATGATAAGAGTTTCCAACCTTGGTGCTATGAAGGCTTTTCTTACATAGCCTGAAAGGTTCAGGCAGGAGCCGGTAGAGACATCAACCTCTTAAAGGGAAATAGACTTGCCCAACTAACTCTTCCATGCACCTTTGTGAACAAATAACTCTAAGCTGAGAAGTTCCTGAAGCAGACAGCATTCAGGTACTTACACTAGCTATATTTGTTTTGCTTTTATTGTTTTTTAATGGTTTATAATGAATACGTAACTGGATTAAAGATTAATTTTTCCTGATGTTCAGCTTTGTTAACCACTTTCTGCCTGTAGGACATTGTATGACCTCAGTGGTTTCAGTGGTTATATAGGAAGAAGGGTTAGCCGCACACCGGAGGATTGGTGAATAGTAACAAATATTTATTGATCCATAGGACACACAATACCAGGACGTGTACAGAACTTAACGCATTTCACGTGATCACGTACTTAATCATAATCATTGGTTGTGATTAAGCGCGCGATTGTGTGAAACACGTTAACAAGTTCTGTACACATGTCCTGGTGTATTGTGTGTCCTATGAATCAATAAATATTTGTTACTATTCATCAATCCTCCGGTGTGCAGCTAACCCTTATTCCTATTGCATTACATGTGGTGGCGAGCCAGGGTCTGCACCTGCCTTGGTTTGATTTGGATCGTTTGGCTGAGCGGTAATACCTTTGCTCCTTGCTTTCAATAGTTATACCGGGATGATGTCTGCAGGCATCATCCCGGTATCAAAATTTTTGGCTGAAGATGCTTTTTAAAGTGGTTCTAAAGGCTCAACGGTTTTTACCTTTATACATGAAGGTAAAAAGCCTTCTCTGTGCAGCAGTCCCCCAGCCCCTTAATACTCACTTAAACCCCCTCTCAATCCAGCGATGTGCACTGGAGTTTTGGCTAGCTTGGGGCTCCCTCTCCTCATTGGCTGAGGCAGAAGTGGGAGCCATTGGCTCCCACTGCTGTCAATCACATCCAGCGAGCCAATGAGAAGAGAGGGGCGGGGCCACGTTCCATCGGTGAATTGACACACAGAGCAGTGGGCACCCCCAAAGCAAGCCACTTGCTGTGGGGGCACCTGACGGCAGGGAGGGGCCACGAGTGCTGATGGAGGACCTGAGAAGGAGGAGGATCGGGGCGACTCTGCAAAACGATTTCACACTGCAAGCAAGTTTAGACATGTTTGTTATTTAAAAAAAAAAAAGCCTCTAGAATCACTTTAATATAAAAGCTATCCTAGCGGTTAAATAGCCACTGGATCGCTTTTACATGCAGAGGGAGGGGGTTGATGTGTTGTTTTTTGCATAAAATACAATTGCCTTCTTTCTTGCCCTACAGAGCCAGAAAACATAAGGATTACCCGTTCAATATTGAGTATTGAGTGGACGTGTCTGGTAAAAGCCGTGGTTGTGTTCCTGTGTTTTCTAGTGGATGTCTAGCATTTGTTATGTAGAAAGCATAGTCCAGCAGTAAGAAGTGAAACGGAGGAGCCACACCATCCAAATGATCCTTTTCTGCACAAAGTGCCTGACTGAGGAATAACTGATTGCTGGTTGGCAAACAGCCTTAGCATCATTTCTATAAAAAAACTAACTGAGCATACAAAAGCCTCCACTCCATTGGTGTTGCAACTGAAGATTAATTAAAGCCGTCAAATTTGAGCAACCTGCTGTCACCACACTCCAGTTTACTCCTCCTGCAAGTAAAGCATTTACCGGCGGTTAGCAGTTACTTAGATTTGCTTTGCCATACATGCAATAAACTTGGGTTCTCAAATTGTTTCATTTTGCGTTTTCTTTAAATAAAAAAAGTACTTGTACTGAAGTGTCTGCAGCTTCTTGTGTCCTTACACAGAGCAGTGCAGGAAGTTATATCTAGAACTGGAAAGCAGCAGGGTTTCTGGGAGAAAAAAAATGGTTCATCAAAAAATTTGGGAATGGTTTTTGACTCCAGTAGGTTAAAGAATTGACCAAGCTTACAGTCAGTGAAGCCAAGACTTTTGATCTGCATATCTTATCTGGTGACAGAAAGTACAAACACTCACACTTTATCAGGTACACATTGCTAGTACCGGGTTGGACCCTGTTTTGCCTTCAGAACTGCCTTAATTCTTCATGGCATGGATTCAACAAGGTGTTGGAAACATTCCTCAGAGATTTTGGTCCATATTGACATGGTAACATCACGTAGTTGCTACAGATTTGTCGGCTTCACATCCATGATGGGAATGTCCTGTTCCGCTACATCCCAAAGGTGCTCTATTGGATTGAGATCTGTTGACTTTGGAGGCCATTGGAGTACAGTGAACTCATTGTCATGTTCAAGAAAACAGTTTGAGATGATTTGAGCTTTGTGACATGGTGCATTATCCCGCTGGAAGTAACCACCAGAAGATGAGGACACTAGTCATAAAGGGATGGACATGGTCAGCAACAATAGTCGTAGGCCGTGGTGTTTAACGCCTTCATTCCTAAGGGTAAAACAAAGCTAAATGCCTAAGCACAATTTTGCAACGTTGACATGTGTTAGTAAAACCGTACATATCATCACAACTCCTGTGTATATCCAGGTGAATTATATCTTGTTTTTTTCAGGACAAATTGGGCTTTCATTTGTTGGTAAATGGTAATGGATATCTTGTGATTTTTTTTTTTAATTATCAAAGGAAAACTGGCCCAAAATATTGTTACTACCATAAACTACCTTCAAAGAGCAACCCAAAATAAATTTTCCAGCTCTTGATGATCACAGCGATACCATATATGTGTACCCGTAGTACAGCCCAGAAACAATAGTGCACATTTTGTTTTGTTTTTTACCTAAAACACTGACACTAACAATTTTTTTTTTTTTTAATCCTGACCTTTGACCCAAACACTTACCCTGGCACTGAACTAGATCAAACCTTTATCTAGGTATTTTTTCTTTATTTTTTTTTTTTAATTTTTAATATTTTTCTTTTTTTTTCTTAAAACATTTTTTTTTCCCCTCTATGCCAGGAGTTAGAGATACAATGTTTCTCTCTCTCCTCCATTCATAGAGAGAGAAAAACAAGGGGGGCCAGGCTGTACAGTGATTGATCACTGTGATAGCCAATCAGAGGCTATCACAGAGTCATGTGCCCGAAATTGGGAGTCTAACGATCGGGACCCAGGGCTCTCAGCGACACGCAGTCTTTGTGCTGAGAGCGTGCTGTGCGGCGCCTTCCCAGCAGAAAGACAGGTACGTAAATATGCGGCCCCACAGTAAAAAGCCCAGTTCTGTGAGGCCGCATATTTTTGTTACATCGGTGTTAAGAGGTTAAACGATGCTCAATTGGTACTAAGGAGTTCCCTAAATTACTAGTTCATGGCCCTGCCTTTTGGCCTCTTGTCTGCACCATCGCTGTTTACCAAGGTGCCGTTCATAGTGCCGTGCACTCTTGCAGCATCACCATCATGAGATATCCTAAATGGCCTCCTGTTGACAGAACAGTCAACAAGCACTCTGTATGACAATGTACCTCTGATTGTCCAGGCATTACAGTGGTTTGGGTGGATTCTAAACCTACAAAAATCAGTGCTGGAACAGACTCATTCTGTGGAGTATCTGGGTCCAGTTCTGGACACATCTCAGATCAGAATACTCCTTCCAGAGGAAAAACTGTGGACTCTCCAGTCTCAAATTTAGACTTCTAAATTCAGAAGCCATCCAACTCTTGCATGGGAGTTCATTTTTGCAACGCAAAATTCTTTTGTTGTGTGGCAAGGTAGTTCCGTTTTTGAAAAGACCAATTTGGTTGACGCTGAGGACCAAGTTGGCACTGGTTTGTGGAATACGACTCTGGAGTTGGATGTCCTTTCTTTCCTCTATTAGAAGATCTTCATGATGGACACCAGTCTGTCAGGTTGGAGAGGAGTTCTCAGCAGTGGACTTGGTCATCTGAGGAATCTCATCTCCCAATCAACATCATGAAACCTTGGAAGATCTGCAGCATTACACCATCTTGTTGGGGGGGGGGGGATGGGGGTGTATCAGATCCAGATTCGGATAATCCTATTGCAGCGGCATACATCAACCATCAGGGAGGAACCAGAAGTTTCACTGTAGCAGGAGACATAGAACAGATACGGTCCTGGGTAGCACTTTGCGTTCCAACCTTAAAAGCTATGTACATGCCAGGTTTAGGCAACCTGCAAGAAGACTTCCTCAGCCAGCAGAGCTTGGACCTGAGGGGTTGCCACTACACTTCAAAGTGTTTCAGGACCTGTGTTGCAGGTGGGGGGTGCTGGATATGGACCTCTAGGTTGAACAGCAAACTAGGCAGGTTTGTATCCAAGCACAGGGATCCTCTAGTCTAGCTCAAGCAGTAGATGCTCTTGTGGCTCCGTGGGATCAGCAAATTCTTAACTATACATTTCCTCACCTGAAATTTCTTAGTCTGCTCCACAGCATAGAGATGGAAAGCATTCCAGTGATCCGAATTCAGACTGGCTCAGGCAGATGTGGTACGCTGAACTCACAAGATTCCTGGCAGATATTCTTTGGGCTTTTCTGGATCAAAATCTTTTTGTCCCCAGTGACGGATATGCATCCTACTTCTTAGCTGCTGGCTTTCATAACATGGATGTTGAAGCCCTGGTTCTAAGGGACAGGGTTAACTCTGAGTCTAATTCCTACAATGATAAAAGCTACAAGGTTTACTTTCCTGCAAGGTCTATGTGTAGAAAGAATCCTCTCTTTTTTTTTTTACTGGGTCTGGACCTGTGTTTGGCTCTCAGCGCTATCAGGGGACTGGTTCTTGACTTTTTTTATTTTGTTTCAGAGATCATTGGTTTCTTGCTCTTTGATTATGACCTTTGTACGGGGGTGGGGAGTCTCCCCTGTAGCTTCCTCCTGTTTTCCAGTGACAAACGAAAAGGTTTGTAAACCAGCTCTTGTATAACCCCTCTTCTACCCAGCATAAAGAAGTCTATTTTTGCCTAGCCTTCTTCACCTCTGGGAATTTATTGCTAAATGTTTTCAATCAAGGTTCTTAACTCCTCATCCTCTTGAGCTGTTCTCTGCATAGAAACTACCTGGATTGACGTTTCCTCAGCACTAGCTTTGGAGGACATTTTTGGACCCTGCTGCACTAGACGTGCGGGGCTAGCCTAAAACGTGACATTCAAGCACTGGGGATCTGCTTTATGTCTCTTTCCAGATCTTTTGTGTACTGCTAGTTTGCTGTGGAGTACATTCCAGGTTCAAAACCGTGGCACAGCCCCAGTCTGACCCCCATCTCTTAAGATTCAGTAAGTAAAGCTGGTCAGGCTGAAACACTGGAAGCTTCCTCACTGTTTGCACTGCTAGGCGCCTTTTCAAAAATTCCCACCATTGCTAGCTTTTACTACTGTAAGGATTAAAGTGTTACTAAACCCACAACAGTAAAATCAGCTTGTATAGGCAGTAAAGCATGCTTGTTATACTCATTGTGGAACCTAAGGGGTTAATCTTCTGCATTGTGTAAAAAAGCTGTTTGATCCTTTCTTCTCTGTTCCTCCCCTTTTTCAAGCAACCACCGCTTATCTCCAGACTGAACCATAGGCATGCACATGCTCAGTTTGGTGTGTATTGCTAGAGAGGTTTTTTTTTTTTTTTTTTTGGGAGAGTGCATGTGATCAGCACAGGGCCAATCAGCACTGTCCAGACAGAGGTCAGTTGACTTGTATCCTCCTAGAGCAATAAAACTCCTACAAGCTTTAGCTAGTGCTGGGCTGTACACTGATAGAAGTCACAAGACTGCTCTAACTTCTGATGAGAAAAGGTATTTAGCAGTTTATATTTACTAAAATAATTGCACTTCAGTGTACTGTGGGAGACCAGATATAGTGGATGTAGTGTCCTTTGTTTATTAACACTTCCCAACCGCCCTATAGCAGAAATACATATATATATGTGATTTTGTATTTCCATGTAGGGGGGGCATGCGCGTGCCGCCCTACCCACACCACCAGAAGCACCATGTGGATCTCAAGTCTCTGGTTTGGTTCCACTGTTCTCCCAGTGACTTGGACACCTCAGCACAAGCTGCCTAGGTTAGTAAGCTCATTTGTTATTATCCAGCAGACAAGTGTCCACACACTAAACTTCACAGCAGCCAGATGAATCTACAACGCTCCCTGGCGGAAGTTAAACAAATTTAGTCCAAACCAGCCAGCACTATATAGCAAACACTCCTCTATTCAACAGGTTTGTGTATGATCAATATCCCAGGCTCTTATCAGATTTGTTTATGCATATACAAATAAATGAGTCCAATAGAGCTTTTATTCTCCAAACTGTCTTCTCTAGTTGTTTTCTTCATAGGTCCTCACACACATTCCCCAAAAAAAGAAAAACATTTCATATAGTGTAGTATCC